TCAGTTTCTCCATGGGTAAAATCTGGGGTTAGGTTGGTAACTTGTGTACTGTAGCTTTTGCAGACAGTAAATTTTGTCCCAAGCTCAGCCCGCATTGCTTCTTTGCTTCCACAAGCACTGCAGCTGCAGCTCCTGACCAGGGGTCCCATGGGTACATTAAGAAGACAAGCAGCCATGAAGAAAGGGTCTATAGGGAGGATTCCGGTGGAGAAACAGACCCTCAGGAGGGAAGCAAGTTTAAAATCTGGAAGGAGGCTGCTTACTTCCTGGTTGGAAAGAACCCTAGAGGGATTTCTAGCCCCAAACCAAGGAACTGTGCATTGCCTCCTCTCTCTAAACCCTCTGGTCCTGAGTACTGGCTTCCGAGTGTGATGGTGTGCATTTACATAGCCTTCTATGAAGTCAGGCATTTCTTTCCAGAGGAATGTAGGACTAAAATGCCCTGGCCAGGGCTACAAGCCACTGAGCTGAGGGTAAGGCTGGCTGGTTCCTTCCACTCCACCCTAAACTGACAACTGCAGAGCCCAGGAGGGGTGGGGATCCCCTTTATCTCGTCTCTCCCATTTGTGGATAGTTGTGCTGCCCAGCTGAGAGGAGGAGTGGTACAGCCTTCCTAGCTTCCTTTTTGGGTTAATTGGTGTTCCCTCTAGTTACTCCCTGCTTCCTTCCCCTCCCAGTTCCCATAGCAACTGGGCTGTAGCAGCCAGAACTTGATTAAGACCAGCAGTGGCCCTACTGAGGTAGGGAAAGGAGGGTGCTGCTAGGTCAAGGCTTCCCATCAATTCCCTGTTCCCCACCCCTGCTACCTCAAGGATCTAGGATGGTTCAGCTCAGAGGACAAGGCGTAATGGAGAAGCCTTTTCTGATAGGGCTAGAAGCCTTTTACTGGTTCTAAGACATTTCCTACTCTTCCTGCAATCCCCACCTGCAGCGAGCCCTTCTAGCCATTTCCCATCTTCCTATAGTAATGCCCAGGTCTCCTGTAACAGGCCAAACCAACCAGTCCCCTGGCACAGGCATCACATTCATGCGACAGGGCTATGTCTAGAGGCTGGTCTTGGGAACAGGGCTTCAAAGTCTAAGGTGGGCTTATTGCCAGGTGGTAGCACTGAGTCAGACCTTGGGAAGGACCCCAGGCCAACTTAAATCATATGGGCTAATAGTGGCTCAGCTGGCCAGCTGTGGGGCCTAGGAGGTAGATTACCTCTGAGTTCACTGTGACTCTTCTTTCTCCATTCCCCTCATTAGCTCCTTGCCTGTTCCTGCCTCACCACCCACAGGCCTGGTGTCCTCCCCAGGCAATCTGCTCACCCACTTGTTGCCATGGTGACTCTGACTGGGGGTGTGGGGACTGAGGGGGGGTCAGCTAATTAAGGATAAAGGCCACACTCCCACTGTCAGGCCACCTTCTCCTGTCCCCCACCCCCACCTCCCTCTCTCTTCCTGGAGCAGATGAGAGGAGTGCCCAGACTCTATAGTCTCTTACTGGGCTAATTGGAATTGCCTGAGAGGAGGGCAGGAATGCCACTGGGAACTCCCCATCTAGAAGCAGGAACACTGGACTACAAGAGCTAAGGGAGACTCTCGCAGGGCCCTCTGAACCCTGACCCCACCTATGGACACAGAGTGGACGCTGATTACACAGGGTTTGGGGTGAAAGTCAAGTGGGCTCTTGGTCCAGACTGCAGATGGGGTCTGTGGCTGTGGACAGAGACACATCTTAGCTCTTTGGGTCCCAGAAGATGGAGGGGGTTCCCAGGTTCTGGGGCTTTTGCTTTGGGGATATTGCTTTCTTTCCTGCCACAGTTCCGCTTCTTTTCTCCTAATCTTTTTTTCCTCTTTTCACACGTTGATCTAGCTCATTTACCTTTGTTCTTATTCCACCCTGTACTCTCTTGCTCATATCTTTTTTACTCCTGTCCTTCCCTCTTCTCTCAGCAGTCCTCCTCACCCCCATCTTACCCTCCTCTTCTGCCTCTCTACCTGATCTTAGCTTCCAGCTCTTTTTTACCCTTCTCTCACCTCTACCTCACTCTTACTCCTTAACCTCATGTGTACCTTCCTGCTCCCTGTTCTTTCTTCTGAACCTGTTTCCCTAACCCGCCATGATTACTACCATTTCTTACCCTGCACACCTCTACTTTTTATTACCCTCTCTATTACACTTCTTTTTTGCTACCGTGTACCACTGCCATTTCCTCTTACCCCTTAGGCCCCTCTCTTACTGCCCTTTTCCCAACCTACAGCTGTCTCTTACCCTGCCTTTTATCTTTGTCTGTTCTTTTTTACCCTGCTTTGACTCCCTTCTCATTCTTTTGAGGATACCTTTCATCCTAGTGGTTTCATCTTTAGGAATGTATATAAATAAAATTGAAGATATGTGTGCATTAATGTGTGTAAAGATATTCAGTGGAGCTTTGTTTATCATGGTGACAACTTAGAAGGAATTCAAATGTCCATGAACAAGAGCTTAGTCCCCTTTCCATGCCATTCATGTGAAATCATTCTGTTCTTGGTCCATGTGTATTTGGTCATCTCCATCCCTTTGTTTAAAGTGTTGCCTCATCCTATTGCCTCATTGGTATAGCCTAGTTATAAAAATCCTACTTTGAGTTGAATCTCAACCTTTTATTTTTTAAGATGGGCTTTTGTAGCCCAGGCTAGCATCAAACTTACTGTGTAGCCTAGGATGACCTTAAACTCTTGATTTTCCTGCCACCACACCCAAATACACTGCCACACCCAATTTATTTCAGTGTTAAGGATTGACCATGGGGTGGGATTATAAGTATGCACCATCACACTTAGTTCATGCTGTGCTGGGGGTTTAACCCAGAGCTTGTTCATGGTATGCAAGCCCTCTACTAACTGAACCACACCCCCAGCAGACAATTTCTACTTTGTCACCTCACCAAAATCTTTTTCAGCTTACTACTAACTTCACTATAATGAACCATGGTTGTGCCTTTCCTATGGAATAAATCATGTGCCATAGATTCAAGTTCCTTGTGTCTGCCCATGAGACTTGAATTTCCAACAGAGAGGGAAATTGTCCTCATTTAATCATCCTGTTCATTCAGTCATCAGATTTTTAAATGTATATTGTGCTGAATGCACAGTGGTTAATAGATAAACCTGTTTGTCTTACATGCAGCTCACAGTTTAGTGGAGTTGAAAGACAAAGCCATACTTGTGGTGAAGAAACAGTTAAGAGAAAATAAATAGGGTGGCATCCTCTGATGAGAGTGGTAAAAGACACTCTCTTCAGAAGTGACATTTAAGCTGAGACCTGAAAGATGAGAAGGACCCATCTATGCCAAAGGTGAGGAGGAGAGCATTCCAGGCCAGGGGAGCAGCATGTGCCAAGGCCACAAGGAAGGAAGAAGCACGGCCTATTCAAGAAAAGGAGAGAAAGTCTGTTTCTGTAGCATGATGAGCCTGAAGAGAGTTAGAAAATGAGGTTGGGCAGAGATGGGCAGAGTTGTGCAGGGCTTTGCAGTCTGTGCATTTGGGTTTTAATCTAAATGCACCTAAGAGCTTGAAGCAAGGGAGTAACATAATCTGATGGCAGTTGGAGTCCATGCTCATTCTCATGTACAAGATTGGAATGAGCGAAACATGGAGGTCAGAAGCATCTGTCATCCAGATGAGAGGTGATGGTGGCCTGCACAAAGGTGTGGCTGCCCACCCCTGGAACATTTGACTGGCTGGAGAAATTCTTTTCATTGTCACAGGGTGGAAGAAGGGGACATTGCTACTGATATCTAGTGAGTAGAGGCTAGGGATACTGCTCAGTATCCTACAGTGCACAGCACAACCTCCACAACAAACAATTATCTGCTCTAAAATGACACAAGTTTTGCTGTTGAGAGCCCCTGGACTTGATGCGAGACAAGGTATGGAGCAGGTGACCTTTCTCACTGGGTTCCAGGGCCTGGGGCAGGCAGGGGACCAGATCAGAGAAGGAAAGTATACCAATGAAGTTAAAATACAAAGATTCCAAAAGCAACATAGCATCTGTGACACCTGCTCTGTACCAGGGCTGAAGCCAAAAGGACAGAGCCTGGATTAAGTAGAGCTCAAAGACACATGTGGTGCCTGGTAAGGCAGATCCAGTGTTTATTAAAAATAACCCTTCACATTTGTATTGCCCTTTAGCGTTTACAAAACATTTTCATACGTGCCATATAATTTGGTCCACACAATACCCTAATGAGGTGGAGCATGGCTTATTCTCTCTATCCCTTTCTTGAATTTAGACACTTAGCACCATCAGCCAAGGAAATGTTTGCCAAGTTGAATGGAACTGGGGTTTGCCTCATTACATAGGGGTAGCCTCAGACAAGTCAGCATACCACTTTGAACCAAGTGTAAAATGATAGAGTTGGATAAAATAATTGGTAAACTTCCTTCTGCTCTGGTATAGGATTAATTTTGTGATTTTTGCCAACAGTTTTTAAAAATATTTTATTTATTATTTTTATTTTATGTGTATGAGTGTT